AGCATCAATTCTTACTTGACCTTCTTCCCCAGTTTGTGCTCAAACAGTTCTTGAATATAGCTTTTGCTTTGCATTGGCAAAGTCTGGAGCAATCATTGACTGATCTTTGTCCTCACACTGTATGGTAAACTTCTTAATGGATTTTTGTACTGAGTATTTCCAATACAACAAAGAATACATATTATTAGATGAATGATAAATAAACTGTATTTGATAGGGTTATTTTGAAGAGTGACTATTTTGTTAAATTTGAATACCCAAATCTTGAAAATTTAATACATAAACTGTAATATTTTTTCTTACTTATAAAACAACAATGTTAGAGAGTATGCAAAGAAAAGGGAACCCTGATACCCTGTTGGCAGGAACATAAGTTAATATGGCTACTATGGAAAACAAGGTAGTGATTCCTTAAAAAATTAAGAGTAGAATTATCATATAATCCAGCTCTTCTACTTCTGTGTCTTTATTTGAAGAATACAAAAACACTAATTTGAAAATACATATGGACACCTATGTTCATTGGAACATTATTTATAATAGCCAAGATATGGAAACAATCTAAATGTCCATCAACAGATGAATAAAAGAAGATGTGGAAATATATACAGTGGAATATTACCAAGCCATATAAAGGTAATATACTGCCATTTGTAACAGCATAGATGGACCTTAAAGGCATTATGTGAAGTGAAATAAGTCAGACTGAAAGAGATAAATACCATATGATTTCACTATGTGGAATGTAAAAACAAAACAAAAGGAGAATAAAAATAAACAAAAACCAACTCATAGAGGCAGACAACAGATTAGTTATTACCAGAGGTAAAGTAGTACATGTAGGGAGGGCAAAATGGGTAAAGGGGATCAATTGTATGATGATGGATGGAAACTAGGCTTGGTGATAAGCACTACGTAGTGTACACAGATAACGAATTATGATGCTGCACACCTAAAATTATATAATGCTATAAATCAAGATTATCTCAATATTGTTTAAAACTGGGTAGTTATAATTAATAAAAAGTATTAGTACTTTAATGCAAATGAAGATTAATTTTTAATGCACCTTTCCTTTAGTTAATCTATCTCCATCACATTATTAGAACATGGTCAATAAGCTATTTTACTCTACAGAAAAAAATGAAGGTCATGTCTATATTTGTTGAAACTTTGTAACATTGCTAAAAGAGTCAATAAAATGTGATCAACAGCAACTTAAAGGCAAAATATATAACAACTTAGTCTTTCTTTTTTTCACAAATAAGATTTTTTTATTTGCCACCATTTAATGTCCATATTTTAAACAGATTCTTGGACTGGGTCTCATATCCATCAGCTCATCATTCATCTTTAGCACCTGTCTCACCCCCAGTAGCTTTCCCAAAACTTCTACCTTCACAATGAAGATCCATGAGTTTCCCCTATTCATACCTGGGTTTCTTCGGCATTTTGACTTCTCTAGGAAAGGCATCATGGAGCAAATAAATAGATCAGCAAGTCTTTTCTATGTCTTTTCCAATGTTATCTGGAACCAATTTATTGATCACTTCTTTCAAGTCATTTGTCTGCACCTCTCAGGTCATTATTTCCATCTTCTTCTCCAAATTTGATGGACCTGTTGATACTGAGGATAAGAGGTTCTACAAATCTGATTGTTGCATTTTTTTAGTAAAACCAACCCAATAGACAAAGTAAATAACCATTGGTAGTCTTCACATTAACATGAGCTTCAATCCTTGTCTGTCATTTTTGACCATCAAGCACATTTTGTCATGGGTAAGGTCCATGCCATGGAAATCAGTCAGGCAGTTTTTGCCCTGAATATCCCCAGTAATTACCTTGAATTTTCTAAATGCCACTTCATCATTCTGCAGATCAGCTAGGCTCACTTCAAAAATGCAACTCTTGAGACCATCAGATATAATTTTGGTTCCTTGAGTTCTTGTGACTAGTGTTTTCCATTATGTCTAATATTCAAGATAGCTGGTGTTTTTATATCATATCAGTCTTCTTAGAAAATGTGTCGACCACTTTCTCCTCGGCTCCCCTTTTGCCACCTTTTGTCAGTTACTTGTTCTTGCCCACCTTTATGGTGCTGCTTAGAGGGCCAAACAATGGGCAGAAGAGCAACTCACGCAATAGTTCAGGTGTCCATCACAACTTATTCTAAAATAAAATGAGACCATTTCCTTTCTTAGTATTTACTCTGGTCATCTATATAGATCCTCTCATTCTTGTTTTTTTCTGTTTTCCTTTTTCACCCTTGAACTCTTCATCTCTGTCATCTTCTCCTGAATGCTCTTATTTTATCTCCCACACCCCCATTTTCCTCCAGATTTTCTAAGTCTGCCTCCGCCCCCAGCCAGGTTTCCCAGGCTCTACTGTGGCCCCCTTGACCCCTCCTTCCTCTCCCAGGGCTGTATTTCCCCTGCCTCTCCTTTGCCTCCCAGCAACCTAGGCAGAACAATACTGGAAGTGGAACTGGCACTCTGACAAGGGAGAGAGCCGTTGGAAAGAAAACTTTACTCATCAAGAAGGGGGCACGCATCTTAAAAATATCTGTGGGAAGGTGTTTGCTAGATCATCTGCTTCTTCGGATGTGGAACTTTCAACAATAATGGTTTCCACTTCGACGAAGGTGGGCAAGAAGAGCATTCTTGGGCTGGATGAACGAGCAGATATGAAGAATTATAGACCTCAATAACTTAGCCTTGAATAAAATTCAAGATTTTCTCCTTTATTCATGTTCTTTCTTTCCTTCTGAAAGCCCCGTTGCAGGAATTCAAAGGGCCGAGCTCTGCCATCAGCTGTGAGTCATGACTCCCACTGAAGCCAAGGAGCTCATATGTATGTATTCAGAGGAAGTATTGGGCCTCGGGGACTCAGATTAAATAACAACAGCCCAGTCGTTTGTTTGCTTATTTGCTTAAACCTTTATAAAAGAAGCAAGAGGCCTGCTGTACCTGAATGTCTTTTTATAATCATTTTAAAAATACACAGTAGAATTTAAATTCCCACAGTAGATCTCCTGCATTATGGCACAAATAATAACATTCTATCTTACCCCATGCCCCAGGTCCAGGAGGGGGTCAGAGGAAAAGAGGCAGGAATGAATTTCTAACGTGCCAGCCTTTCACTGAGAAAGTTCTGTTTGTATCCCCAGGGAACTCGGCACCAGGGACTGAAATCAGTGTTCCCTGTAAACGGCATGAAATACCTAAACAGCTTTTATTTTTCAGAGCTAGATGGCTGAAGGTAACAAGGGCCACTCCACTGGCTTTGGGAGAAACAAAAGTATACAAGCTAGAATTCCACCCCTGGACTTCTCTCTTGTAGCCTCCCCTCCTAGTTCATAAACCCCTTTCTCCTCCTCTCAGGGGTTCTCCTCCCACAAACAAATTAAAAACATATCCAGTGTAAGTTCTCTTTGCCATCCCTCTCCCAGAGGGTTTTTCCCCTCAGTACCAACCCACTGTACTTTATTTAGTCAAGGCAATAACTATATCACATATTTTTTTAAAACAGGATTATTTTTCTAACTTCTAAAATGTTAAAAACTTTATACTCTGACATTCCTGCTATAATGCATTTTTATTTTTAAAAAGCCTTTCATTTACTTTTCTTGGGTTTAAAGATGTTATACGCCAACTATTATAAAACTAAAAAAACAGAGATAAATAAATAAAGCAAAAAGTGAAAGATCCTCCAATTAAAATTTCCAGAGGCAACCACAGTTAACCGTTCCCACTGAATTTATATTTAAATTCTTAAATGTGAACTGGAATATTGAAGGAGCTGGCCAGATAGTATACCCTGTTGTCTCTCTTCCAGACCTTTCTGAGTTCCCCATTCCCCAGAGAGGTTTCTAGGGGCAGACAGGCGTGTCTAGACACCTCTGGCTTTTTCTAATATCAGCCCTGGAATGTGGCACCTTCTCTGCCCAAGTTCGGATCTACCTGCTGGCAAATTCCTTCCCTGCGGCTTGCCCTTGTCCTTCACTTTACTGCCTGAACATAAGTGAAACCATCTTCCCGTGCTTCTCAACTCTAACTATTCCAAGGTGCCCAAATGCCAGGATTCAGAGTTTATTCTCACTGTGTCCACTATCTAGCCTTTTTTTTCTTGTCCTGAAACTTGACCCTTGGGCACATATGGCAAAATTAGGCCTGTTTGTTTGTGTGTGTGAACAAGATTAAACTAAACTGATACCTAACAGGCAAACAAAACTGTGTAACAGGGACATCACTAGACAACTAAGGAAAAAACAAAACTTACTAGGATTATGTAATAGTACTTCTAATGATATCATCTATGGAGATAGTTATTTTCTATATCTAAATTCTAAGGTATACAATACTGATTAACCGTATTATTCGATGTTTTATCATTCATTCACTTAACAAGCAAATAATAAGCACATGTTTATTGCCCTAATGAATTTTAATTTTGTGCTAAATATTGTTATTACACACATATTATTGTTTTATAAGTTAATGCCTCCCCCCTTCTAAAATGTCATCTACATTCTTTAGAATGATTACTGCTTCAAACACACTTTCCAACCTAAGGGCCAGCATGAACTGCCATATTTAATGTGACCCCACACACTTGACCATTATTGGTGGGTCCAGTAATAGGCACTAGATCCAATCTAAGCCAGAAAGATTCCTTCTGTGGGAATTTTTGAATGAGAACTGACAGCCAGTCTGTTTTTGTCCTGAGAAGCCAGCTGTGGGAATGGGACCTGAAACCCAGTAGCTACTGGCTACTTTTTCTCCCACCCATGGAACTGTGGTTCTCAACTTGGGCTGCACAGTAGGATCACAGCTGGAATCTAAAAAAGTGCTTTGGTCCCAATCCCCAGAAACTCTAATTGATTTGGCCAGGGCTGAGACCCAGGTGTCAATATCTCTTTAAAACTCCCCGGGGCGGGGGGTTAGAATGTGCAGCTGGAGATAAGAACCACTGAGCTGGAAAAAAGAGTTTACAGTGAGGAGGAGCAGAGTCACCAGCAGCAGTGGTGCCAGAAGAAACACACAGACACACACCGGCGGCAGACAAAGCCCTGTTTTAGGTATTCCGCAGACCGAATCGCTCCCTAGATTTTCTTTCTCACTATTCTGTTGACAAATTCTTTTTTCAATTACCTGAGATATTCCAGTGTCTTTCTGATAAATCCTCCTTTTATCCTGTTAATTTAAGTTGCATTTGTGTGATTTGCAAACAAGGAAGTCCAAACTAGATTTCCGTTTTTGTCCTCTAGCTTAATAGATTTTTACACTTGTATAATAGTTTCCCTCCATTCTGTTCTCGTTCACTAATTTACTACACAATAATCCCCACAATATTCCAGGTTCTGTGCTACTTACCAGGAATACTGACACGAAGAAACTTTGGAGTCCCTTTATTAGAGCAGCTTCCACTCCATTGAGATAAATGACATGGAGAAAGAGCGATAAACGTTATGAAGAAGTATTGACTAGTTACCGCGAGAGCACTGAGGAAAACTGTGGTGTGGTGAAATCGTGGAAGCCTTCACAGAGCAGGTGGCCCTGCTGTTGCCTCTGGAGGTATGTACTGGTGTCACCTGGTAGACAGTGAAGTGTCCACATGAGGAATTCCATAGCCAAAGGCTCAGAGTTATAAGAGACTAAGGCATTTGGGGGCATTAAAGTATTTTTGTTATGGCTGGGACTTAAAGTTCATGCTGGGGATTGGAGGAGGGCAGAGAAGGGGGTGGCGCATGGACACCTGCATTTTGTCCTGTGGCTACTGCAGAAACTTTGGCACGGTTTAGAGAGAGCAGTGCTGTAAACAGATTTGCTGCTGAACAAGATCTCTCTGGGTAAGTGATTGTGCAGAGACCAGACTAACAGGAAGGAATCAAGTGAGGAAGACACTGCAACTGCCCAGGAGAGAAATGACGAGATCCTGACCTAAGATGTTGATAATGAGAACCTAGAAAAAACATTTTAGAAGGTAGATTTCCCTGGCTGGGAAACTAGTTGATATCTATTAAAGAGAGTGTATATATGTGGGCAGTAATGAGAGAGAAAGATGAGTTTAGTCTTAATGAGAAGTAAGCCTAAAGGATGCTTACATATAAGGAACATGGGGGGCATGTAGGTAAAAGAAAAACTGCTTGCAAAGGGAAAGGAGAATAAGGTACACAGCTAGAAAAGCATGGTGTTATGGAAATTAATAACGTCTCTAATGACTTCTGTACTGGGTTTAAATAGAATGTAATTATCCACCAACTATGGTTTCTTTTTTTCCGCCCTAAGATCTATCTTGTTTCCACTCTGAGACTAATCAGGGGTCTGACTATACAACCAAAAGCCACTGTCCTTCCCTGAGCCTCCTCCCACAGCCCAGCTCCGAGAAGGCCAGCTTTATCCCCAGTCTGATAGTCTGGCAGACCAGGAAACTGGAGAGAGATGGAGAGATGGAGCGACTCCATCTCTCAGTAAGCGACTAGATGTCTGGTGTTAACCGGCTTAGCTCTGATGACAGTGGGACAAAATCCAGGCCAGCTCTGGGCCTGTTGGCAGGTAAACTGGAGGTAAGGCTTCCCTAAGAAGGTCTGAGGGACTCTAGTAGGGAACAATTGAAGTGGGTGAAGGTAACTTTGGTTGAAACTTTTTTATGCAATTACAATGTGGGAACTTGATATTCATAAGGTAAGATTTTTTTCTTTATTATTTTCTTTGTTTTCTCTAGGTCCTTTACTTTAGCAAAAGGTTCTTATTTAGATTTTAACTCCTGACTAATCAAATCTCCTACTATAGAGTCTGCATACATAAAATTTCATATTCATATACATACGATTATGACTCTTACAAACCAGAGGTAGGGACACTATAAAGTGTCATGGGTATGGGGGTGACATAGGCAGTAGGACTGGGGGGAGTCTGGTGAGGGAGTTTTTTCTCCTTTAAATAGATTTCCACCATAGCTCCTTATTATATTTAGCGTAAAATTCAAAACCTTTTACCCAGACCATGAGGCCTACATGCCCTGCCCCCACCTCATATTATCCCCTTCCCCTCCTGGACTAGTTTCTAGTTACTCTGACCTTTCTTTCTTTCTTTCTTTCTTTCCTTTTTCCTCATTGAGCAAACTAAGTGATGGTGCCCAGTATACACAATTTCAATAATATACATATTTAAAAATTAATGGCATACTGGATTTAAGTCAGGGCTTAAAATATGAGATAAGATAGAAAGTAATTTCTTAGGAATAATGAAGAAGAAAGAGAAGTTGGAAGGAAGGAAGCAGGAAGTCCTAGGAGTCTAGCCTGGAGGCTGGAAGAAGCTGCTGTTGAAACACCACCTTCTCTGACCCAGCAGTTTTTCAGAACGTGCCTCTAGCATCCAATGGGCAGTCAGAATTTTTCTCCCTGGGAAATGGGAACTGTAAAGGCAAAGAGAAGAGTTGAGAACATTCGAAAGAAGAACTTAAATGAGAGTAAATCCTGAATGAACTAATCTCTTATGCACTCTAAAATACCTTAATTATAAGGGAAGTTAAGGGGTAAAAGGGGGAGGGATTTGGAGGAACAAATAGGAAGGACACAGGGACGAGAACTAAGGGGAGTGGAAATGGGAGGGAGGTGGGGAGCAAGGGGCAAGGGAGGCTGGGATGGGAGAAATAGACAAAAAAACTGTACTTGAAAAATAAATAAAATTTTTAAAAATTTTTAAAAAACTCAAAAAAAATAATAAAGGGCCGGACATCATCTTTTAATAGGCAAATCAGATAGAAGAAACTACCTCACTTGGAAATTAAAATAATTCTTAAACAGCTTCATGTCCTTTTATCTTCTTAAACACTGGTATATTTGGCCCTAAATGGAAAATGCAATATACTTTAGATCAATAGTCTCCAAACTGTTTCATTATGTAGCAAACTTGTACAGTGCTAAATTTCCTATATCCCAATTAAATTCCAATATTCATTGTATGCCTACTTTGTGCCATACAAGGCACTGGCAAAACTAGTGAGTGAGTATAAGTGTGCGTGTGCGGAAGGGGATAGTTCTGGCAGAAAGGGCAGAGGGAATGGCAAAAGTAAGAGCCAAAAAGGAAATGAAGACTTTTAATTAGACTGAATTTTTAATCCACTCTAACCAGCTGAAAAAAGAGAGCAGGGTAATATCTGGTACACAGATTCATTAGTTCTGCCAGGTCAGATGTCATAGATATTTGGAATACTGATTTTTGAGGAAGAAGACATGGGGTAAGGGGATTCAGGATAAGTAATATTTCTTAATGGTAGTGCATAGGTATAGAAAAGAGAGCAACATCAGAATTAGTGAGAAAAGCCTGGTTTTCAATGACGCATCAATAAAAGCTGAAGGACAGATAATCATTGAAGAGAGGAAGGGAAAGGTTTCTATATTCTCATCCTTGTTGCACTTGAATTTGTCCACCAGGCCTCCACCCGTCTTCCTCTCCTTCTCCTTTTCCTTCTTCTTCACCTCCTTCTTCTCCTTCTTCCTCTTCATCTTCTTCTTTTTAAATCAATATCTTACTTTTCTTGAGAAACCATCTCTATTTCATTATGTTTGGTTTTGGTGGGACTACTAGTTTTAAAGGATCCTGACTTCACCAAGAAGTAAGCACATGCCATAGGCTAATACTGTGAGCAGGGTGATAGAAAGTTGGAAAATGCATAGAGCTGATTCTTCTCAGTGCTCTGAAGAGTATTACCACAAGATTCTGCTCCACTAAACTCTCTTTCTCCAGAGTGTTGGATTGCTGTTCTTTTTAAACCTTTCCTTCTAGTTATTTACTTTTTAATTTTTACATATTTGTTTATTGACTTTACTTGGGCAAAGTTGGTTTTCTGTATTTGCAAACTAAGGATTCCAGGAAAAACATTCTTGGACATTACTTATCGATTACTCAACACCATCATAGCTAGCTTATGAATTCATTTTTATTTTTTAAGTAAACCAGAGTCTTTTCTCACTCTCCAAAGCTTTGGAATTTGAGCAATATTTAAATTTAATTTTCTTGTACCATGCCAATTGCAGTGCAGAATGAGAAATGGTGTAAGATTCTGAATAACATACCATACCAGAGAAAGGCATGGGCAGGGTCCCAGGGATATGCTAAAAATAATCTAATTTAAGTGTAGGATTTCTTTTGATAATTGAGGGGATGCCTATAAAGGGGAAAAAGGTAAAATAAAGATAACAATCAACCAAGAAAATTAATATTACTAATCCATAATAACTTATGAAAAGAGATAATTTAAACAAACTTAGGTGTTATTATTGCATTATGATTACATAAAATATTCTTTTCTGTTTTTTGGTGTGTACTATTGTATTTAGGATGAAATAACATGACATAAGGATTCTCTTTGAAAACGCACCAACAGGATTTCTGGTCAAGATGGTGGCGTAAGTAAAAACATTGCTCGCCTCCTTACACAACCTTACAAAATTACAAGTAAAATATAGAACAACCATCACTCAGAACCATCAGAAATCTAGTTGAATGGAAGTCTGACAACTATAGAATTAAATAAACCACATCCATCCAGACTGGTAGGAGGGGCAGAGACACTGAATGGGCTGGTCCCACATCCACATGTGGAGGAGGGATATCTTTCAAACAAAGAGTCCCAGCCTCATATAAGGACCCCCAAGCTCAGGATTCCAGCACCAGGAAGATAAATCCCCATAACTTATGGCTGCAAAAACCAGTGGGGATTGAATTAGTGGAAGAAACTTCTGGAGTTCCAAGAAGTTCCCCATAAAGAATCCATAAACAGACTTACTCAGACTCACTCCCTCTGAGTAGCAGCTTGAAAGGCACCAGTGGCATATAGAGAGGAACTGAAGTATCTGGCATGAAGGTGGAAGCTGGGGGACAGTTTTCTCTGAGACAGAAAGATGGGCAAGAAGCCATTGTCCCTTTGCTGAGCCCTCCCTCCACAGAGCCACAGAGCTGGCAGGCTGGTGCCATATCTGACACCATTAGATAACACCATGTTATCCATTAACCTGGGTAACACTGCTTGCACCGCCCTGGAGATCCTAAGACTTGTTCTACACAACTAACAGGCCCACCAAAACTGTTAAGCCTGACTTTTCCATATGAATGGCTGGTCTTGGCTCATGCTGCACATCTTCCTAAATCCTATCAAACAACCAAAGGCAGGCTTCAACAAACCCCCAACCCCCATAATTCTTGCTGAACAATACAGGCCCAGACCTAGCAGCAGCTAGCTTAGATTCACAGTTTGGCTTTGCCTGGGAATCTCCAAGCCCAAGTATTTCAGATTGTTTTATTGTTCATGAAGAGTGGCCCCAGGCCCCACAGGTGAGGGCTGACATTGGCCTGCACTACCCAGGAAACCCCAGAGCCTGTGCACCCAGTGGACAACTAAAGACCATGTTGCAGCACCGCCACCCCGATCCTGCATAACTGATCCTCCATGGAAGGCAGAGATCGGTGGTTAGTGATCACAGCCAGTCCTTGCAGGTGATTGGTCTGGGTAAATTCCTACCATTGACCTGCCAACAGCAATCAAGGCTCAACTACAAGGAGATGGTGTGCATATGCCACAAAAGGGAGGTCCCCAAGTATCCAGCCCGGGTGATAGGGGAGGCTGTGCCACTGAATGCTATAGAACACCTACCACATTGGACCACACTACCAAGACAGGGAGTCATAGCACCACTACTTGATACATAGAAACAAAGAGAGAGGCTGCCATAATGAGGAGACAAAGAAACTGGTTCAAATGAAAGAACAGATCAGAACTCCAAAGAAAATAACTAAAAAAAAAATAAAGATAAGCAATCTATCAGATGTAGAGTTTAAAACACTGGTTATAAGGATGGAGTGATGACCTCAACAGCATAAAAAAGATCTAGTTAGAAATAAAGGATACACTAATTAAAATACAGAATCATTTACAGGGAAACAACAGTAGAGTGGATGAAGCCAAGATTTAAATCAATGATTTGGAACATAAGGAAGCCAAAAAAAAAAAAAAAAAAAAACCAACCAGAACATCAAGAAAAAAAAAGAATCCAAAAAAATGAGGATAGGGTGAGCTGTCTCTGGGACAACTTCAAGCATTCCAACAATCACATCATGAGATGATAGAAGGAGAAGAGCAAGAAGTTAGAAATCTATTTGAAAATTAATAAGAGAAAACTTCCCTAATTTGGTGAATAAAATAGACATTCAAGTCCAGGAAGCACAGAGTCCCAAGAAGGATGGGAGCATAGAGCCCACCCAAGACATATCATAATTAAAATGCTAAAGCTTAAAGGTAAAGAGAGAATCTTAAAAACAGCAAAAGAAAAGAAGTGAGTTACCTACAGGGGAGTTCACATAAGACTGTCAGCTGATTTCTCAAAAGAAACTTTGCAGGCTAGAAGGGATTGGCAAGAAACATTCAAAGTCATGAAAAGTAGGGCCCTACAGCCAAGATCACTCTACCCAGCAAAGCTATCATTTAAAATTGAAGGGCAGGTAAAGAGCTTCCCAGACAAGAAACAAACTAAAGGAGTTCATCATCT